CCTCAGCATGGCTTCCTAAAAACGCTGCAGGATTTTCCAAACATGCATGAATGAGTCAAAGCAAGGCTTTGGGCATGTTTTTTTTGAGAGTATAACATTATAACATGATATAAAACTCAAAAAAGTTGATTTTACATGATATTGCCCCTTTAAATGTATATAGTACCTGCAAACACAATGAAGATTTATTATTCTGGGCAGTTTAGAGTCTTTATTGCTGCTCAGATTGAAAAGGTTCCGTTCTGATTTACAAATATTTGCTCAAGCAGCTCATTTTATTAATGACCAAATCAATCTGCCTGTAGAGGAGCCCCCYCTACAACACAGGTTGTAAAGATAAACTCACCTGTTTTGTTTTGTTTATTTAGGGTCGACTCGGATCAAAGTGCAAACATTTAATTATTTTGTCTATATGAACATCCTAAGAGCTCATTCTTCAGTTTAAGACTAGTTTTAGTTGGAAAATGTAATGTTGGGTAAGAATCAGACAACAGGTGAGTGAGGAAAGCATCATTCAAGCCTCTTAAGTGGTCAAATCAATTAACAAAAAGAACATTTAGCTTTTCTAACAAGCAGCTGTGATGTTCACCCATAAAAAAATAAAGAAAAACTAATAAACAACCATAAAAAATGTGAAACATGATTTATCTATTTTTATTTGAATTTTTTGTTTTCATTTAATTTTGTGTCTCAGGCCTTCATGAAGCACAACACGTCCAGACAGAARGATCACTGTCTGTCCAACTTCGACCTGGCTGAGTACAGACAAGTCATCAGTGACCTGGCCATTCAGATCTACCAGCAGCTGGTCAAATGCATGGAGAACATCCTGCAGCCCATGATAGGTGTGCACACGTCTGAGGGTCTGACTGGAACCTGGCTCGCGTGATCCGGTTGTTAAATGTGTGTGTGTTCTCCCTCCAGTGTCCGGCATGTTGGAGCATGAGACCATCCAGGGCGTGTCGGGGGTGAAGCCCACAGGCCTTCGTAAACGCACGTCCAGCATCGCCGATGAAGGCACCTACACCCTGGACTCCATCCTGCGGCAGCTCAGCGCCTTCCACTCCACCATGTGTCAGCACGGCACCGACCCTGAGCTCATCAAGCAGGTGGTGAAGCAGCTGTTCTACATCATTGGAGCCGTCACGCTCAACAACCTGCTGCTGCGCAAAGACATGTGCTCCTGGAGCAAAGGCGTGCAGATCATGTAGGCTCGGATTCTGCCTGCTTTGTGTTTTTAAGTGATGAATGTGGTTCTTTTTCTGATTTTATCCTCCGTACACGCAGGTACAACGTGAGCCAGCTGGAGGAGTGGCTTCGAGACAAAGGACTGATGAATTGTGGAGCCAAAGAGACGCTGGGGCCTCTGATTCAGGCCGCTCAGCTGCTGCAGGTGAAGAAAAAGACCAACGAGGACGCAGAGGCCATCTGCTCCATGTGCCAGGCTCTCACCACTGCTCAGGTAAACTCTGCTGCCATCTACAGCAGCTGAAAAAACCATTTCATCACATTTCACAAGCTAAAATACAGCTTTTATTTTGGTTTGTCTCCAGATTGTAAAAGTCCTGAACCTGTACACTCCAGTCAACGAGTTTGAGGAGCGAGTATCAGTTCCTTTCATACGATCCATACAGGTAATTTATTAACATTTAGTAAGAAATCTCTACGAAATCACCTGGCTTAATAAATAATGCTCAACAAAAACAGCTTTGAGACTCCTCTCACACTGTACAAGTTATTTTATTTATAGTTATCAACAGCAAAGGTTGCAATTTTGTCTTTAAGTATGTTTGACATGTTTATTTACCACCATTTGTTATTAAAAGCTGTTTTTAATGAACTGGGTCACTCAGTGTACAAAGATTCATAACTTCTTTCAAACTATATTTACAGAAAAAAAAACATTTGTTTATATTTAAAAGAAAAATGTTAATCAGGAGGAGGGGAACTCAGTCTTGAAATCCTTTTTTAAATTTCAAATTAAAAGTCCTCTGTTTGAACTTTTTCTTTCATATTGAATTAGCATTTATGAATTTGTTGTAAAGTTTACATCCATTTATAAGTTTTTATTTTTACTCAAGTCATACATTTTTGGTGAAGTATTACTTTTGCAGATCTGACCCACAGACCTGCATATTAACAGCCTGAAAGCATCAGATCTTAACTAAATCTTTATTATTATTGTTGTTGTTGTTGTTGTTGTTGTTGTTGTTGTTGTTGTTGTTGTTATTGTTATTATTGTTATTATTACTGATGGATGAATGTTCCCCTTGTTGTTGTTGTTGTTATTATTGTTATCATTGTTATTATTATTACTGATGGATGAATGTTCCCCTTGTACTTGTGTGGTTTTTTACGGGCAAAAAACATGCAATATACTGTGTATATATGTGTATACAGTATAAGTTTTATTATGAGCTACTTTAAAATAGAAACTGCTGCCGTGTGCCTGATGGAAAAAATCTAGCTGCTGTTTAAAAATGAAACAACCCTTCAGTTTTTTTGTTTGTTTGTTTGTTTGTTTGTTTGTTTGTTTGTTTTTAATTTTATGTGTTTTTCCAAATGAAACTTGGGGAAAACTTGTTATTTTATTCTTTTCTTCCAGGCTTGTTTGCGAGATCGTTGCGAGAGTCCTCAGCTGTTGATGGACACCAAGATGATCTATCCGGTCACCTTCCCGTTCAGCCCCTCCTCCGTGGCCCTAGAAACCATCCAGATCCCCGGCTCACTCAACCTGGGCTTCCTCACCCGTGTCTAGCCGATGAGGACCGCTCCAAGCTGGACTCACAAGTCACCTGAGAAAACAAAAACAACAACAACACAAAAACACTCCTGAAAACCAGACTTTGAGTCCATTTGAACAATCCGGTCCTGTACTGATATATGCACACACAGTTACTGAACAAACTGCACTTCCTCTCARTCTAAAAGAGCCAAACAAAAATCAGGCTTCACCCACAACAGCTGGTTTCAATCTGTCTGTAAATCTCCAGCCTCCGCCCACCGCTTGTATAAACGCCTCTTAGAGAAGCCGCAGGACCCCGATCAGTCAACTCCATCCACCTCCATGTTTCCAGTACTCTTTAAGGTAGCTGTGGCTAACTTCCACCAACAAAGAAAACGCTGTTAGATGAGATCAGGTCCTAAAAAAAAAGTTATTTGGCTGGTGCAAACGTTAGCTCCGCCCCCTCCTTCCACACGGAGAAAACACCCAACACGTTCCACTCTTCAGAGCTCCGTGGGAACTCCCTGTCTGTACCATATTATTTATACACAACAAATCTATATAAATAGGAATAATATATATCATGTATTTTATTTATTGTATGTGTTGCCACCATCTGAAGGATGGGACCACCGCTTTCCAGCAGCAGCTCTGTTTTAGTTGCAGCGTTTCGTGTTYATATGAGGTCAGAGATATGATTACTGCGATTCAAACCTAAAGCGCTCGTGTTCAGAGTGTTTTTCTGTCCGATGAAGTGGAGCGCAGATTTAAATCTTTACTGTTTACAGCTGTGACCAGAGCTGAGAGACTCATTTACTCCTCCCACAACACTACACACACATCACTCTTTTTATTGTTATTATTATTTTTATTCTGGTCAAAGCCTTGAACATTGTTTCATCGTTATCATTATTTATTTCAGTATTGTTTTTTTATTAAGTTATACATATCATAAAGCCATGTGTTAACAGAGCAGACTGAACAGAACAGTTTAAAGCTGGTTTAGCGCAAATTGCCTCAACACACCTTTGTTTTTGTTTTTTTAATGTCGTGAGCCGATTCAGTCCTTCCTGTTTACGTTTCACAACGTGTGCTTTTACCAAAACCCAGCAAATGAAATGCTTTTATTTTGGTTTGTGCTTTTTGCTTTCAGAGCTGCTGGTTTAAACGCAGCTGAACCCTAGAAGCATGAGCTGCTTCCTTCGTTTTAACTTTGCATGGATTTGGCTTCGTCACAGGCCGGAGAAACCAGCCCGCATGTTATTAAAGACCTCGACTGAAGAGTTAATCTGGTAATCTGCCCGCTTTGACACGTCTTCAGAAAAAAAAGATGGATTTCTTTCCTCCTTTTTGTGCCGTCGGTGTTAAATTCAACCAAGTTTGCCTTTTTGTTTTTTTTWATTTGAACTTTGCCCAGTTTACAGTGATATGTGACCCATCATATTAAACTGAYGATTTAGTCAAAATGACTTCAGCAAAATATTCAGATGATCCTGATAAGGACTTAATAAAACACTTAATATCTCTGGAACCGCTCTGCMGTTCCAGAGATATTAAGTGTTTTATTAAGTGATTTCTCTTCCTCATCWGGATAACCCACTGATATTTGCTCTAAATACTATTTATTACTTTAATGAAGAGTTTTTGATGTGATTTTAAGGCGGAAACCTCCAACATATATTAAGATATTCAAGCTGGAAAGAAAAAGCGTTTTGCTAGCTCGCAGGAAAATGACAAAAAATTAAGGCTTTTCAGCTCAAAATCTTTTTTTTTTTTTGTAGCTACGGCTCAAAAAAGGCCTTAAAACATTAAGATTATGCTTCATTTCATTTAAAGTATTTATTTGACAAAACGCAATTGTTGCAAATGTTTTGGCAAAAACATTAGAGCTCCTCTTTCTCCACTTTAAGACTTAATGACACGGTTCGATGTGACGGGTCACATTTGTTATCACCACTTTAAGGAATATTTCTCTGCGAGCTTTTCTTTCATGAGTTTGTTCTTGAAAAAATGAAGCACCTTTCAGCAATATGAGACTGAACAATATCAATTTCAAATGAATTAACTCTCCAAGTCGATTGTCCTCCAAGTTGTTTTTGGCACTTTAACGTCCACCCGCTCTAACTGGGACCACTTTTATTTCTTTTATTTCTTTGTTTAGATGTCACGGCTTGTGTAACGAGGACATATCTGCTAGTTTTACTAAGAAGGAATGAGTTATTTTACCATTTGAATGTTGACGATCACAGCTGCACATTGTAGACAAAGCCTTATCTGAATGACTCACACCGTTAACTTTGTGGCATTGTTTGTTCTGTCAGTGCAGTATTTTTAAATCCATTAAAGTTTGTTTTTTTTTTTTTTTTCCTTTATAATGTGATGATTTTGTTTTGGAAATGCATCTTCCTGTCCTACAGCAGGCGTCACAGATGGGCTGGACAGACGATAAATAACGGATCGCTTCGAGCGGCTCTTTTTCTTCTCATGGGCGATCAAACGTTGAAAAATGCCTCTGCTTCATTTTTCTATTTTCAGAGGAGAGAGTCAGCTGTATGGTACGAAACGAACGTTATAAATGACCATCATCTTCATCAGCACTAGAGTTAAATATGTCGTTTTAAAGAGAATAGTTTAAGAAAAGATAACGTAAGAAATGTCAAACCCCCAGCTGTCGTGGTACCAGTGTGAAGCCAGTACCATGTGTTTCCTCTCCTGTGTTCGCCACACAAACTGGATTGTTTGTAGTTTCTGGTAGCTGTGCTTCGTGAATGTGTTCACCATTTAAAAAATAAAAAAAGAGAAACTTGGAATAAACTTTCAAACCTGTAAAAGTAAAATAAAACCCTTCAGCACTGATTGATTGTCCATGAGAGCTTGTTTTTTTCTGTTTTACCTTTCATTCAAAGTTGTTTCTTTTACAAGTTTGTCTTCAAATATACAGTGGGTAAATTAAGTATTGAACACGTCACCATTTTTCTCAGTAAATATATTACTAGAGGTGCTAATGACATGAAATTTTCACCAGATGTCGGTAACAACCCAAGTGATCCATACATACAAAGAAATCAATCCATAAATGTCCAGAAATGAAGTTATTTGTAATAATGTGGAATGGCACAGGGAAAAAGTATTGAACACACTTACTGAAATTTATCTAATACTTTGTACAAAAGCCTTTGTTGTCAATGACAGCTTCAAGACGCCTCCTGTATGGAGAAACTAGTGGCATGCATTGCTCAGGTGTGATTTTGGCCCATTCTTCCACAAACAGTCTTCAAATCTTGAAGGTTTCGTGGACCTCTTCTATGAACTCTGATCTTTAGTTCTTTCCATAGATTTTCTGTTGGATTCAGGTCAGGTGATTGGCTGGGCCATTCCAGCAGCTTTAGTTTCTTTCTCTGAAACCAACTGAGAGTTTCCTTGACTTTGTGTTTGGGCTCATTGTCTTGCTGAAATGTCCAGCCACGTTTCATCTTCATCATCCTGGTAGATGGAAGCAGATTTTTATCAAGAATGTCTCTGTACATTTTTCCACTCATCCTTCCTTCAATTATTTGAAGTTTGCCAGTACCATATGCTGAAAAACAGCCCCACACCATGATGTTCCCACCTCCAAACTTCACTGTTGGTATGGTGTTTTTGGGCTGATGTGCAGTGCCATTTGACCTCCAAACATGATGTGTATTCTGGCATCCAAACAGTTCAATGTTGGTCTCATCTGACCAGACTATATTCTCCCAGTATTACACAGGCTTGTTTAAATGTTGTGCAGCAAACTTTAAAGGAGCTTCAACATGCTGTTTCTTCAGCAGTGGAGTCTTGCGTGATGAGGGTGCATACAGGCCATGGTGGTTCAGTGCATTACTTATTGTTTTCTTTGAAACAATCATACCTGCTAATTCCAGGTCTTTCTGAAGCTCTCCACAAGTGGTCCATGGCTCTTGGACAACTCTTCTGATAATTCGTTTCACTCCTCTGTCAGAAATCTTGTGAGGAGCACCTGGTCGTGGTCGGTTTATGGTGAAATAATGTTCTTTCCACTTCTGAACTATGGCCCCAACAGTGCTCACTGGAACCTTCAGAAGTTTAGACATTCTTCTGTAACCGATGCCATCATTATGCTTTGCAACAATAAGGTTGTGAAGGTCTTGAGAGAGCTCTTTACTTTTACCCATCATCAGAAGGTTCTTGTGTGATACCTGGCCATCATTTGGGACTGAACCAGCTGATATTAACTTGCACTGACAAGGGGCAGGCTTGTTTTCTAATTACTGAGAGAGTTCAGCTGGTGTCTTGGCTTTCCATGCCTTTTTACACCTCCCTTTCTTCATGTGTTCAATACTTTTTCCCTGTGCCATTCCACATTATTACAAATAACTTCATTTCTGGACATTTATGGTTTGATTTCTTTGTATGTATGGATCKCTTGGGTTGTTACTGACATCTGGTGAAAATTTCATGTCATTAAAAATGGTGACGTGTTCAATACTTATTTTACCCACTGTAATTTCCCTTTTAAAAATGACCAGAAAATGGTCTGGAAATCCCTTCGTATAATGGCTGGAGTCACTGTAGAGCTCTGGTATTCCACTCCAGACCAAGAACTAAGTTTTTAAACCAGCTTGTTAACAGGCCAGGTGATATATTGTCAAATTTTAACACGTCACTTTGAAGCTTTTGAGATAAATGTGAAAATAACTGATAAACTTAAGGTCAAAACAATGTTTTATAAAATAAAAAAACATTTCCTGGCACTAACGATGACCTGCAGGCAGAGAGCCGAGTCACAGCTTAGACACTTTCCTAAGGAGCTTATCATCCCTCGCTGTCAATCCTCCACAACTTCACTTACATCTCCAGGCACAGACACCTGAAGCTAAAAAATATCCTGTCGGGTAAGAATCACTCTTTAGTTATTGTTTTATAATAATCTGCTGTCACGGATACTTATTTTAAAAATATATAAACAAATGTGTGGTAGTGCAGTTTGTAATTTTTACTTGTGTTTTGTGCAAAATTGTCCATGTGTGATCAAACATTGCCGTGGCTTTTCAAAATAAAAGCAGTAGTTCTGCTTTCACTTAACAGCTCAGAGGAGAAGTTTGAGACAAACTTAAACATATTCCAACAATATACAAAATTCTACACATAACATCTTAAAAGTAAACTGTATAAAGTGTATATTCTCAGAAAATGTATTTTAATCATATTTACAAAACTTGTCTTGACATTTTTTGTGTATTTTATCCCATATGTAGCATGACAAAAATGTTTACAGGTTGTTTTCTGTAGATTAATTATAAATAACTGTTTGTTACGATGCAGTCACTGAGTTGGTGCATGCTGAACGTGTGTGTTTCCCAGAATAGCTGCTGCTCCTCTGGTCTGAAGCTCAGAAGGATCAGACTGCAGTAGATTAGCAACTACTTATCTCCTGTGTACACCCTCTAACCTCAACACACACACACGCACACACACACACACACACGCACACACACACACACACACACAGCACTGAAGAACCAAAAAGAAGCTTGATTAAAAGAAACTCAGTCTACAGTGTGTGATCTGGATGATGGACAGTGTTGTATAAAGTATCTCAAAGTGATACTTGAGTAAAAGTACAAGTATCTTATCATAAAAATACTTTGGTAAAAGTTAAAGTCTTCTAAAAATATTACTTGAGTAAAAGTCTTAAAGTATCTGATGTTTTTTGTACTTAAGTATCAAAAGTAAATTTCTGACACAAAATCTACTTAAGTATTAAAAGTAAAAGTACTGAGTAAAAGTGAGCAGTTAGATTTTCCAAAATGACATTTATTGGGAGGTGACTTCTCCAAAAAATATTTTTTCTAACGGCGTGCAGCTGTGATGGGTTGTGTACAAACTAATAGTGTGTCAGAATGATATATATTTATACTTCTCATCCAACCACAATTATATTCACTCTATCCAGGAGACACAATTTATCAGGATAGTATTTTTTTAAGTAATAACTCAGAATAAAATAGGAGTAACGACTTTCTACTTCTTACCTTTTAAAAAAATGTAGTGAGTAGAAAGTACAGATAATTGTGTAAAAATGTAATGAGTAAAAGTAAAAAGTACGCTGAAAAATAATTACTCAAGTACAGATAACCAAAATTTCTCCTTAAGTACAGCAACAAAGTATTTGTTCTCAGTTACTTTACAGCTCTGCTGATGGAGATGATCTCTGGTGTTTCCACAGAGTGTTGGTGATCCTCTGCAGCCATGTGCGACCAGACGTTCCTTGCGGCCACCTTTGGCCCGTGTGACAACTGTTCAAAAGCCAGTCCTCTGATGAACATCTACCTGAAGAATGAGCCCATCAACTACTGCTCCTTCTGCGTGGAAATGGTAACAACTAGAAGCAGAGGATGAATTATTCTGTGCTGATATTATAATGAGAGTCAAGTTCCTGCAGTCAGATGATCAAAACTGGATTATTRGTTCCACAAATTATTCACCTCATGATTCGTCAGCAACTTCCTTTATAAAATCTAAATATGGGTTTAAACTGGGATTTTCCAGAGTGATTATTTATTATGATTAAACTGACAAATACAGCTGCGATGAGAGCTGGCTATAAAGTCATCAAGTGGGTTTTATCTGTGAGAAGTGGCCTGGTAAAAACCAGACTCTTGTCCTTCACTTGAAGGGAAACTAGGATTGAGRGGAGCTYCATGAGGCAAGGGCCAGGCCATGTGAGAAGCTGGTTTATAAAATAAAACYTTACATTAATATGATCAGAAGATCCTTCCCACCGTTAAACTGATAAAAGTTGCATCTTATGAATATGAAATTTAAATGTTTTCATTCTTCAGAACTWCAACTACTACAARGACTRTGCATCTCAAAATRATGACTAATACTCAGTCCTGACTTTAATACTCATAGTTACAGCTTTGCATCTTATAATCAGAGGTTTAACCCATACTAAGTACATTTACTTTGTTACAGTACTTAAGTATTTCTTTGAGGATTTGTAATTTTACCAAGTATTCATATTGTTTTATTTCATTACATTTAAAACCTAAAAATTACACTTTTACGTCTTTAAAATGTAACATCTAGTTAGTCGTTACAAAATTAAATGTCTAAACTCATCATGAAAGGAGTGGTTTCTAAAAAATTAAATGTTGAATTTACTCAACCAAGTCATGTCAACTGGTTCCACTAACCCTAGTAGAGTAAACATGAAGCATATTTACATCAAAAAAAAGAAAATATGTATATTGCCTTAATTTACTCAACTTAGTTTAGTGGAACCAGCTTGGTTCAGTAAATTCAACAGTTTATTTATTAGAGTGTGTAAAAGTACTTTTACTTTCCCAATTTTTGTGAGCAGTTATATGACTTTTAATTAAGCACTTTTCTAATCAGTGAATTAATTTTTACCGGTCATTTTCTGTTAAAGTATTTTTACTTTTACTTAATTCTTTTTTCAAGTACTTAATAGACCTCTGTTTATAATCACGACTTCATAATCATAATTTTGACTTTAAACCTCATAATTATATATTATGAGTAGTTGTGGCTTTAATACTCTTACTTTCATAATTGTGAATTATCAGTTCATAATTATGACTTTAAACTCTTAATTTTGACTTCAAACATCCTAATAACGACTTTGAATTTATTAATTTTGTCTTTAAACTTTCAAGTGTGACATAACATCATTATGACTTTTTTACATCTTATAAACATGACTTTAATAATATTAATTTAGATTTAACTGCTTGTCATTTTGACGTAAAACTTGATATTTTTAGTGGCATAAATGGGCTTCCACACTTTCATACAGGTGTAGTTTATGTTTATATTTACTTTGTGGTGGTTTTTGAGATGATGGTCTGGAGTGGGCGGGGCCGAGCAGTGAGGGGCGCGCGCGGCTGCAGCATCACTTGTCGCGCTCGAGGAGGATGAGCGCTCTTTCTATGGACCTTTAGCCTGGCCGGTGCTCCACATTCTGCCCTCTCCTCTCTTTCTCTCTTGTCTGTCCGTCGCGTTGTTGTTGTTGTTGAAGATGGCCTGCCAGGGGCTCCAGAAAGGAGAGACCCTGACCTCCCTGAAGAAGGAGAGCGAGACCCTGAAGAAGAAGCTCGAGGAGGAGCGGGGCAAGCTGACCGACGTGGAGCGTAAGTGTGGGCGACACCGACCCCCAAACCCCGCTGCGCCTCCATCTTATTGTCCTTCACTTAACTAGTATTAAACAGGCACGTGCTTCACTGATGCCAGCTCTGTTTTTAACTTTCTGACTAGAACTCTGATTGATGGAATGTATGGCAGGCCGTTCTATCATATAATGTATCCACACTCCTCTAATGAAATGTTTTTACTAAAATATCTCAAGAACCACACAACGGATTTTAATGAAACTTTCAGGAAATCAGGAGTGGATGAACATCTACAACTGATTAACTTTTAGGAGTTAACCCAATTCAAGATGGCCGCTACAGCAAACAAAATTTTTCAGTTTGTTACAGGTATTGAAGTAAAGTTTGGTGTGGTAGTAGCTGAGACTCATTCAAAACGCATAGTCAGTCCAATTCAAGGTGGCCGCTACAGCTATGTGATAATTAATCTTCTAATTAGCAAAAATGATTTTAAATGCAAACGCTAAAACATCAGATTGTATTGTATCAAGCTCCCTCCTGTTCAACATTTAAATCAATTCAGTCGTGGTTGGAGTGCTTCTCTTAAATGATGATCTTTTTCAATTCAAACCAATTTCTTTACTAATTTCATTAAAACAAAACAAATAATTTTATATACAATATACAGTAAAAAGAAAAATATAAAAAGAAAAATGAGAAAAAAATAAAACTAGACATGGGTTTTTACGATGTAAAAACAAGTGTGCATTGCCATGCAGCAGTGGACTTGCAGAATGAACTTTGACCAAATTCAAATGTGTTTTCTATGTGCCTGTCACGTCAGCAGGTGTTTGTAATTAAGGTAATTGTGTGACAATATGAAGTTTGAAGAGATTTTTGTTAAAGTTGCAGTAGCTGGACTTGAAAGCCCACAGTGCTCATCATGAGACTATAGGAGATGTAGCAGAGGACAATCCCAGGGATTGGATTGTATGTATAC